CCCGCTCAGGACCCAGGGCCCCTCTGATTGGTTTCCCCTGCAACCCAGGAAGGGAGGGGTCCTCGTCCCACAGGGGCTGTGTCTGGGGAGTGAGTCATGGTGATTCTGGGGCCACCACTGCGGAGAGGCCCGGAGAGAGCCCTGGGCATGGGGAGCCGGCCAGGACCTCAAGGGCACCCCACTCTGGGACCCTCCAGACCTTCCCAGGCACCGCCGACAAGGGCAGGAGGCCGCGCTCCCTCTACAGCCAGGTGGGTACCTCCACTCCCTTCCCCCCTCTTCCCAGCTCCTGCCACCCTTCCCAGGTCCTGGACACCCCCTGCAGACCCTCCTGTACAGACCCCATGCCCTACACCATCGCTGCACCCACCTGCCCTCTCCGGATAAGCTTGCCACAGGCCTGGGCCACTCCTGGCCTGGCATCCTGCCCAGGCCACCCGCCCTCTCCCCCATTCTCCCCTGGGCTGCCCAGACGACTCACTCACGACATCTCTGGCACACTGGGGGCCGCTTCTGGAGAACAGGGGTCTGGTCTGCCCTCGGTGACCCCTGGGGCCCCTGACGCCTAGCAGGCACCCGTGAGGACTTGTGGGAAAGAGGCCCCAGGCCAGGTCAGGAACGGTGTGCTGGGTGGACAGGTATACCCACCCGGGTGTGTCTGCCTCCCCAGCCTTCCTGAGCAGACTGAGGCCCAAGGCCCAGCCTCTGGACACACTGCAGCTGCCTGGCTGGCGTGGGCCAGTGGGACCAGCGCCCTGAGGAGCCCCAGCTGCTGGGGAATGTCCGAAGAGCACCCCTTCCCTTCCTGCTCAGCAGCTGGCCTGCACAGCCCCTGGGGCTTCAGGTTCCCCCACCACAACGGAGGGCGGGCCCTGTTGGGAGAAGCGAGCCTGGGCCCACAGACAGGGTGCCTGACGCTTTGCACCAGAGGGCTGCCCACACCTGGGCCCCTGGGCAGTGCCCTACCTTTTCCAGGCCAGGAAATGTGAGTCCCTGAGCTCTTCCACCTGCCAGCCGGCCGGACACTGGCCCTCCCAGGGCATGTGCCTGGACGAGTCGTGGGCCCGACCCAGAGCCACCTCTCACCACCAAGCACAATGTGGGGGGAGGGCCTTCAAGGGCTCCATTGTTCCCCCCAAGGCCTGGGGTCTGAATCCCCGATTGTCCCTGGGGCTGGACAGGGCCCAGAAAGGGAAGGGGCCTCCCCTACTTGCCCCCCCTTCCTCTGCACATCAGCCTGGCCCCGCCTCACCTGCCTTCAGGCCTGGGGTGGGGGTGTCCAGTAGCCCTCAGATTCAGGCCAGGCTCCCACCTGCCCTTCTCTCTGCACCTGGGCTTTGGGACAGAGTCCAGCCTCCCTGTCCACTCCCTGCCACCTCAAGTCTGTGTCCATTGTCTGGGTCCCACCACAGAAGCGTGGCATAGGCACGGACAAGGGCTAGGGGACAGCAGCTCTCCTGCTGGTGAGCTGGCAAAGAGCCAGGCAAAGAGCACGGCAAAGCCACAGCAGCCCTGACTCGAGAAGGGTGGCTTCTACAGGTGTCTTGTGAGACTCCGGGAATCTGGGAACCCCAACAGGAGCCCCCAGGGGTCCTCCCTGTGCTGGCCTTTCTGGGCCCAGCAGACCACGCACGAGGTGGAGGGGAGCCCTA